GAATGCTGAAATCCTTTATTAGAGCTATATTTGAGAGAAGATGTCATAAGAACAGTAATACTAGGTCAGACCGAAGATCCCCCAGCCAATATCCTGTCTTCTTATCGAAGGCAAAGCCAGGTGCTTAAGAAGGGAATGAACAGATCAGGTAATCATCATGTGTTCAAAATGATCATGTTTTGAACAATGTAAATTAATCACAGTTTAGTTGAAGTAGCTGGTATGATAAAAATTGCTGCAGACCTTGCAATTCTATAGAAAGTTACGTACATAACCTTGTTGATGTCAAAAGATAGTCTAGATATAGTTGGGATGAAATTTGCCTTTGAGGACATAGCGAAAGCAAGACCTATGCAGAAGTCCCACTAATCCCTATTATCGGTGAATTTCGCCTATTAAGACAACTTTATACACATAGAAAGTTATGCAAACATGAAGCAAACATGAATACCCAGGATTTGGTAATGTACTATAAACAGCAGGTGTTATTAAGCAATCGGGCTCTTAAATTGAATCCTACCGAAACTATATATAAACAAAAATAACTAAAGGATTTTCCTTTTGTCATCTGTATACCCATAGTTATGAAATATAGTTAATTTAAGGATATTTTAAATCCTCAGCCCTCAGATAACAGTGCATTCCTGGACATCTAACTCTAGTGATGGATCCTTCTTATAACTTTAATAGTACTGCATCAACAAAGCAGTGTAGTACTCCGCTGGCTGAGGTTTAAAAGTGTGAATTTTGTCCATTGACTAGGCTGTACCACCAGTGTGCTATTGAGAAGTAGTGAGGAATCTCATTTCTTCAGGTTAGACTGTTGGTTTGGAGCTGTTTTCTCTAAATGTTATTTTAAAATTGAGGCAGAAAAAGCATTAAAAAAAATCTGATTTACGAGGTTTTTTGTGTGTGTGTGTGTGTGTGTGTGTGTGTGTGTGTGTAAATATCATAAAAATAGTACCACTGAGTTATACTACCAGTGAATCTAAACTTCTACATCTTTGTGTAATCAGACTGAATATGTCTCGTTCGTTGCTAAGTCTGTGCCAGAATTCTTGTTTGCCTTCATGTTATTTAGACAATCAGATTTATGGGCCACTTCCCTGGAAAGAGTCATCTAAAGAAAGGATGTAGTTTGCATTGACTATTTGATTAGTTGATCAGGGCACTCCCACTCCAACCTTCCGGCTCTTGCTACATTTCAAAAACGGAAGCTTTGCAGAGAGTATGGCCATCAGGGGACACAAGTGTAACCCACACACCTAGGCTGTGTCTAAACTACATCCCTCTTTCGACAGAGGTTTACAGGCTCTTTCAAAAAAGCCTGCCTTTTTTGAAAGAACTGCATCTAGACTGCAGTTTTACTTTCAAAATAGCGCTTTTTCAAAAGCGCCATTACACGGTTATACAAATGAAGCACGGGAAATTCAAATCCTGGTTTCATTTGCAATTTCAAAGTGTCTAATTTACATCCCTCTGTTGAAAGAGGGATGTAGTCTAGACACAGCCCTAATGTGGTTCTTTGTCTCATGTAGTGGCACCTAGACCACAACAACAGATAAAACCAAGAGACCTCTACAGCATGGCCTGAGAGCCAGCTGGCTTTTAGCTGAGAGGGTAGAGGCTCCTACACTAAACTTCAGAGGTCCCAGGTTCAAATCCTCCTGGTGACAGTTACACAAGCATGGAGCACGGGGCTAGTAGGGGACTGTTTGAGTCCCCAGCTCCCCTCAGCGCTTCTGATTTTGAAATGTAGCAAGAACTCTGTTCTTGCTACATTTCAAAGGCAGAAGTGCTGCCAGTTTCCACTGCACCCCTGCCCCTTCTCCCCATGGAGATGGTGCTGGGGGGAACTGGCTTTTAAGCCAGTCCCCCCCCCCCCTTTGCTGCCTCTAATAAGTGACTAGTCGAATCACTAGTCCACTATCCTATATGCTTTTGCTTATCAGGTAGTCAACTAGTCGCTTACATCCCTAGTCTAAAGTTTTGTTTTTTAAAAATTCTTCCTTGTAAACTTACTAGATGATGGTAAACTGGGAATATATTTTTTAGCAGAACTTGAGCTCTTCCTTGTTTTCAGAATATCAGCATTAATCTCTGCGGAAGTAGAAAAGAGAATTTTAGACAACTTCAGTTCATTAGGAAATGTCCTAGAAAACAAGGAAAAATGACTAGACACATCTACTTGTTTTTCTTATTCAGGGCAAGGAAGGTCATAGGACTGATAGCTATCTATTCTTTTCTATAATAATTCTAACCTGTAGCACAAAAAGAGGTACACTTAGCTGATAATTTATATAGTTCTAACTCAGTGTTTCTTTAATCAGTTTGAAATTAAGCCACCAAGAATCCAATCCACTCTTTTCAAGGACCATGCCATGTTATTTTGTCCTTGAACCCTGTGAGGTAAGAGAAATCATAGCAGCAAAACTTAGTTAGGGTTTTTTTAATAACTTAGACTAAGGCTATCTGCCGGTGATATTTCTCTGCACTCTAAGATTTTTCCATTACTCTAATCTTTGTTAATCTTTGAAGTGCTCTGAAAGTAGATAGCTTTGGCATATAGTGGAGACAACTACCTCTTAGAGAACAGTTAAAGAACACTGATGAATTTTGTAGTGTCTTGGAGCAGCTCAGAATGGTTGGCTCATTCTTTTGACAGACCGTGGTTTGCTAGGCCACAGTCAGTAACTTGGACGCATTATTACTAGCAAGTTCTTTATCACCTGTAATATCTACTTACTGTCAATCATGTTGGTCCCAATTCTGCAAACCACTTATTCTTAAATCCTGTTGACCGAGTGAGAGTGGTATTATTTCTCCCATTAGATTCCTTTTTTGCCCTTCCTGAGCAAGTTCTGTTTTTGGGGTTTTTTTCATTCCCAGTTCCCTTCTTGTAAATAAGACCATTTCTCTCTTCCTATTTTCTGTGGGAAAGAGCTTTTGCACACTTAAGCTGGTGACTTCATAGTTGGAAAATGGAACTTAAAGCCTATTGTATTGCATTTCAGACATTTAAATGAGACGTTACTTCCATGAATTAGGCTGTAAAGTTAGGTAACTTACTAGGGTACAGTGCTCTGATCTTTTTCTACAGACAATGTTTGGTTCAGAAGATTCTCTTTCTTTGCAGGGTCCTCTGCCAAATACTTGTGGTCACTTTTGGGAGATGGTTTGGGAACAGAAAAGCCGTGGTGTTGTCATGCTCAACAGAGTGATGGAAAAAGGATCGGTAAGAATAGAACTTCTTTTTAATGGCGTATATTTTAAAAAAAAAAGCAAAAAATAATGGTAGCAGAAAGATGCATGTACAGGATTTTGTCTAACAACATACATCTAAGATTCAGAAGCTGAAATCTGTAAAGGTATCTTTGCTAACTCAGAGAGGTGTGCAAATTATCCAGTTCAGAAAAGCAGAGCATAACTTCTGCATTCAGCTAAATGAATGGCAAAGCACAATTGGCATTTTCCATACAAGAGAACTAACTTAGTTTCTCTTTTTAGTCCTAGCAGTATAGATACTTATGTCTAGTTCCTCTTTAGTAATGGCTGGAGACTGGCTCTGATTCCCATTTATATTAAGATCCTTTACATTACTTAGGCACTATCCATGAGCCTTAAAAGCAGTTATATATTAATTTACTTCCCTAAAGATCTTATAATCTAGATCTAAAGACAGACAAAATATAGAGAAAGAGGAGTGATGTATAAAAACTGATCAGGGTGATATTAGCTTCTTATTTCCTATTTCCCTTATTTCTTTCAGACTCCTGCTCCACTCCTGACCTGCATATTTCCTAATTAGTTCATCTTTCCTCCTACATAGCTAAATTTCCCCAGGGACAGGGGGAATGAGGGGAGTAAGACACAGAGAATGATCCCCAGAAACTAAGTGTAAAATATCTAGAAATCTACCATCCATCTCTGAACATTATGGTCATTTGTCCCTGGGGATGCAGAAGGGTTCAGCCCCTCTGGTGAACAGATGGGGGTGCAGGCTCTACTAATAGCTCTTACCACTTCTGATCCACTGCATGACTGAGGGGAAGAGGTTGGCTTAATTCCATGGCAGCTGGTGGGGAACAACCAGGGCTTGTTCTACAACGATGGGCTCAAAAGTTACCGTACTTTGCTTGTTAATGGAAGCTGCCATACTGTAATCACATTAGTAGGTCTGTGCTCAGAGAAGAGGATTTAATACAAAAGTAATAGAACAACACAGGGATGTTTTTTTATTTCCTCTGCTGACTGCAAGGCCCTTTCAGAGGAAAGTAAGTAGGTGTGCTGTGTCCAAGTGGTGGTCTAGTGTTGCATAAGCAGAAAAGAATTCCTGGGCATCAGAACAGTTGTGCAGTAAGCTGTGTTTTAACTCTGATTCAAGGTTTTTTTGCTTAGTGATTGGTTATAATACAGG